GCATATACATTTTGAAACAACTGGTCCCGAGATTTGGGAGGACACTCTTGGAAAAGTTGACATATTTGTGATGGGAATTGGCAGTGGAGGCACTGTCTCCGGGGTTGGACAATACCTCAAATCCATGAATCCTAATGTCAAGGTAATTTTTCATTCTACACACGTCTCAGGTCTGCTGTTATAAAGAAATTTTTGTTTCCTTGGTTATTCTTTATTTTTCTGATATCCTGCAGATATATGGAGTTGAGCCTGCTGAAAGCAATATACTGAATGGTGGCAAACCAGGTAAAGTTGCAATCTTTTCTTATCAGATTGAAGTAGGGAAATCTGGGGAACGTTTGTGTTAGTAAATCTTCCTCTCCTAAGCTGGCTCTCGAATATAAAGTAAATGGAAGAGTATAACATGGTGACTGCTAGAGAAGTGGCAGAAATTAGAAGGTCAGGGGTCTAACATAATCAACTGAACTAGGTCCTCATCATATTACTGGCAATGGAGTTGGATTCAAACCAGATATACTGGACATGGATGTGATGGAAAAAGTTCTCGAGGTACGTTTTTCAGAATATGCATGTTGGGTGTGGCTGCTGTATTTTTTATTTACATTTCTAATTTCTTGGAAGTTATGTGTTGGGAAATCGTATGGCAGGTTAGCAGCGAAGATGCAGTAAATATGGCTAGGGAATTGGCATTGAAGGAAGGTCTCATGGTAATAACTGTAGTAACTTGTTACTCTGTTGCTGTTGCAAATACTTTTTGGGATTGGCTTTAGCTGTTTGCTTTGGCTTATTCTTTTTAGCTTTAAGTAGGTGAAGTTGATAATCTCAATAAGCTTGGGAATTGTTTAAAAAATAAGTCAATAACGTGTTTGGTTGGTGAGAAATTAAAAAAAAAAAACCATGTTAGTTTAGAAATATTTCCTTTAGAAAAAATAAGCTTTATTAAGAGTTGGTCTTTTTGGCTTTTCTTATTTTGACATATAAGCTATTAGTTTATAACCCAAACCAAACTTGTACTCAACCATCTGTTTGATGCAGGTGGGAATATCTTCCGGGGCCAATACAGTTGCAGCACTGAGACTTGCAAGAATGCCAGAAAACAAAGGCAAACTTATTGTGGTAAGAAACTTTTCATTTTATCCTCTCAAATTCATTGGTCGAGACATTAGTTCAGTAGTGAAAGTTCGACTTTGTAAATCTATTACTTTACACCAATAAAATCCAACTCTGAAAAAGGTTATTTATGAATTTGACAAACAGACTGTTCATCCAAGTTTCGGGGAGCGATACCTGTCATCCGTCCTGTTTCAAGAACTGAGGAAAGAGGCTGAAAACATGCAACCCGTACCAGTTGATTAATATTAATGCTTGTAAAAGGGTCTTAATGGATGATCATTGCGGGCTTCCTTGCGGAAATCATTTGTAACCATGCAGTAACTCTGTTGCAGTGTTCTGTCACAAACGATAATAATAAAATTTCTATTCAGTAAATTGAATTGCTTGGAAGTTGCAAATAATGCTTGTATTTTAGTGATATACCAGAGAACAAGGCATCAATTTTTGCTACTAACTTTTGCCAACAACTGCTATTAAATTAATGTAAAAACAAAAATTAAAAATTTACTAAAAAAATAAACCAAAAGCAACATTGAACTCAGAAAATTCAGTCATAAACTCCAAATTGGTTGTTGTCTCAGGTCTGTCATTCAAATGGGCTAAGGCCCAAAAGGTCTCTGGGTGTTATGCCTATGCTCCAAACCCTTTCATTTTCGCATGTATAGACCATAGTTTCCAAAAACAATACTCTAATATTTTTCTTATTATTATTATTATTTGAAGAGTGATTTTTATACATTTGCTTGTTTTAATTTTAAAACGATGTACATGTTAAATTTTCATGTGTATCACATGAAAAAAATTGTAAATTAAATCAAACTCAAATTACTTAAACGTGAGTATTAATAAAATATTAATGCTACTTTAAGTTACTACATATTAATAATTGGTGATACTAATATTAGCTAAAACTATATAGGCAATAACTTTGATAGCATAGATAATAATGTCGATGATAGCAAGTAATAATATTAGTGATGACAATGATAAGAGTAAAAATAATTGTAATAACAATATCGACAAAATTTATGAAATAATTTGAGTAATAATAATAAGAGTATTAGCAATGATATGACTCCATATGATTAATAATGAAAATAATAGTAATAATAATAATAATGATGATAAAAGTAATAGTAGTAAAAGTTAAAATATTAGTAATAATATTGGTGACAGTAAAACCATATTGATAATAATGATAATGATAGTGGTAATAACAACAACAGTGTGGTTGTAATAATGACAATAATAGTAATTACTATGATACTTAAAGTAATGATAATGATATTCTTGTAAAAAAATTAAAGTATTTAAATAAAATTTAAAATAATAAGCTTAGCTTTTTTAAAACAAAAAATACTATAAAAGTATGTAATATTTATTCACTTTATTATGAGATTAATAACATTCTTTAAAACGATAGAGCCTATTTACTGCTTATTCTATCATTTTGATTGAATTAAATATTTTCTACATAAATGTTTGGATCGAGGGGAATGGAGGAAAGAGAGAAAAAACAAAGGTTGTTCTTTTCTTGTGATTAGAAGTTTATAGGTTCAAGTGTGCACTTTTTTTAGCCCTATTGAATGAATGATATTTTTCAATTGAAGTTCCAAAACTTGCTCTTGATTATCATCATCTCTTGATGTCTACCTCTCTTCCTTCAATATTTTTTTCTCAAACTAAATAAGTTGTATGTATGACATCTTTTATAGTTTGTCGTAATTGACACCCCAAATAAATTTTATTTAAATAATATCAGTATAAAGTTAAAGAAGGAACTTGATTATTTATTTATTCGAATTTAGTTAAATAATTAGATTAATTTTGAATGTTATATAAAAATGGGTTGGTTGGGTTTCATGGTTTGGGTTGAGTTTTGTTTTTCTTTTGTATAATGTTTGTTTATTTATAATTTTTACATATTATTATTATTTTGTTTAAAGAGAAAGTAAAAAAAAAACACATAAATATAATTTTATAGGTAATAATATTTCATTATATTTCTAGCATTTCAAGTATTAGTGCATATTTTTAAAAATGTTCTACCTACTAAAAAATATTATTTTGTAATTTATAATACTTTATGATAGAATTACAAAGAGTAAATGTAACGACCTGAAACTTGAAAGAAAATAAAT